GGGCCCTCGCTCGAGGCCGCTCTGGCGGCGATGGAGGCCTGCGGGGATGTCGCCCGGCAGGGCCCCGCCACGCGCCCCGGGCCGACCTACGTCCGCTGCCACCCCTGCGAGCCCCCGACTGTGTCACAAGGGGGGGACAGCGACTACTACTTCCTCCCGACCTGCGCCCTCTGCGCGGACCGGCTCGAGGCGTCGCTGACGGGGATGGCCGCCGAGACCCAACCTGCGCCTGCCCGTCCAGGGGGGGGGAGGGGGCGGCGCTGCGGCTGCCTCGCGGCCTCGACCTGCGCGGTCTGCCGGGTTCTGTACCAAGCCCAGACAAACGCCAGCGCGCGCGGTCGGGCCGTCTGCGAGGCCTGCAAGCAGGCGGGGGACCCGTGGATCTGCCTCATCTGCGGCTACGTCGGGTGCAGCCGGTATCAGGCAATGCACGCGAAGGCGCACTGCCTCGCGCGGCAACACTTCTTCTCCATGAACCTGCTCACGCAGCAGATTTGGGACTACTGCGGTGACGCCTTCGTGCACCAGGTCGTCATGGTCTTCGACGTGGCATCAGGGAGCACCACCCGCGTGCGATACCCTAGCCGAGAGGACCTCATCTTCGAGGGCGAAGACGACGAGAAGGACCTGTTTTGGCAAAAAAAAAGCATCTCCGCGAAGTACGACGCTAAACTACGGGCCTCACACACGCAATACGCGACGGTCATCAAAAATGAGCTTGATGCAATGCGACAGGTCTACGAAAATGATCTCACTAGCGCCATCTCCAACAGCCAGGGCGAAGCGCCGCATTCGAAAAAAATCACTGAGGGGGAAGGGGGAGGGAATTCGGTAAACCTAGCAGTATCCTCCTCCCCGTGGAAAGATTCCCCGGCCGAGTCTCAGTTCCAGCGAACTCAAGCGTCCACACCGCAAAAAACAATTAGCAAAGCTCAGCATTCCCCTCCTTTGGCATCGATGAAGACGCTCCATATTATCACAACTAAGGTGCTCGATGCACAGGAGGCTGCTTTAAAAGGCGATGTCAACCTGCAGGGGCTTTCCCATGATATTTGCCTTCATACAAAGGAGGGTGCGCAGCTGGAAGAGCGCGTGCACAATATCGAGAGAGAATTCCGCGCGATTGTGGGGAAAAATATCGCGGCGGAGATCGAAATCGATTCCGCGATTGAGGAAATGCAGACCACGTTAAAAGAAATTCGCTTAAACGTCGAAACGGAGCGCAGGCTGCGCTCACAGATAGATGCTTCAGATGGTGCCGAAAATATGGTCATCATGGGGAAAGGTAAGAAAAACATGTAGTACCGGTGAATTATTATTACTATTAAAATGTATCTGCACAGAAGAATC